CCCATTCCCCCCCCCATCCTGCGGGGGGGGATGAGCGAGCGGCTGGCTGGTTCTTTGTTGCCGGCTGCCAGGTTAAGCCACAACAGACAGGAAAGAGATGAGCCAACAACTGTGAGAAGCAAACAGTACAACCGAGTTCCTTTGTCTCCTTCAAGCTCCGGGGTCTCCTTCACACCCCTGTTCAGCTGGCACCTTGACCTTCTCGGAGAGGTGCAACACAGAAGCCCAAGTGGCATTTCAGAGTGGAACCGAGCCCCCGTGCTGCCTTGCAGCTCACAAGTGTACACATCGAGTTTTGCGGCGCAAAGCCATGGAGGACGGCAGTTATCCCACAATACTCCACCAGCTGCTGTCCTCTCCCCACCCTTCACAGCAGACGGAAAGAGGAACTATTTTAGGTAGAAGAGCAAGCGAGGGAGCACATTCCAGACTGAAGACCATGCTACAGGTCCAAAGCGAACTCCAGGAACCTGAGAAAAGGAGGAAGATCATGCCTAGTATTCATAGCTTTTCCCCTGTCAGACACTTATGCTAGATGTGCTTCTTTGCAATTAAAACAGGGCAACAGAACCTCTTAATTAAACATTTTATTTAAACAAATACAAGCACCATGCTTAGCAAAAAAGATTTGGTTTAAAGTAGACATGCAATGTGAACTAGCAGAGACTAAACAGCATATGGAAGTTGTACTGGTTACTGATATTTTCACGGAATTGCCAAATTCTCAAAAGTGGCCATGAACCTCTCACACCTTTTAGCCCCCACAGCACCGGTGCCAACCCTGACACATCACCGTGCACGAGTCACACCGAGTCTGGGTCGTGTGGCAAAAGCAAGAGTTTCCCCGCGCCCCTCCTCGTGTCCCATCGCACCTCCGCTTCACAGTTACCAGATGTGTGTATCAAAAATAGACGTTGTATGGCATTTCTTTTTTGAGCACGCTGAAGTGAGGAGCTGAACTCCCTTGCTTTTGCATGTTTCATCCAGACCCCTGTGACCAGTTTAACACTGTTTCTGGACTGGCTATGTTACAGTTAAAGATACAAAAATGGAATCCTGGTACAAATGCATGAGATGTTCCTTTGGAGAAGTGAAAAGGTGTCAACACCTGCATTATTGCCTCCTTTGATAGATCAAAACAGCATTCATGATACTAGAAAACACACTTAAACCATCAAATACCAGCATTTAAATTTTGTTTTCGTTAAAAATATTCAAACAATACAAGTCCATTTTATTGGCTGACATGCAAACTCATGCTTTAATTCAGCTTACCATCAATTAACGGGATTACAAGAGCTGTATCCCAGCCATCTACTCAATATTTAAAGCAAACCAGATTAATTGTGGCAGAAGTCTCCCTTTGAGAGACCTTTAACTCCAGGCCAAGGATTTTATGGCCAGCTTACTAACTCCTGAAAAATAGGAGCTCGCAATGGAAAATGCTGACTCTCAGACCTTTAGCTACAAAGGCTCCCATAGGTGGCATCAGTTCATTTCTATTGGCCTTTAGTTTGAACCCTCTTTAGAGACCTGAAAATTCCAGACAAATGTAGGTCCACAGACAAGGAACTCGCTAGTAAAGCGCAGTCAGAACATACTGGCCTTCTGAACGCAGACACGCCTGCCTCTCGCTGATCTTAAGGGGGAAGCAGTACGGAAAACACAGTTCTAAAGATAAGGTGGGAAAAGTAAGTCATGAAAACAAGTATTATCTGTGCAGGAGAGATTTTGACATAATTAACGTCTTTGTTTAATCAAGTATTAGCACTATCTGTATCTCAAGAGCCTAGGACAGTAAGCAGCAGGCAGTTGTGTCAGAACACTGCATTAAACCCAAGGAAACCACAAACAAGCCTAGAAGAGCAAACATCCTCTGCACAGTCCTTCCCCAAGTACCTGCAGCTGCTTCCTCACTTCCACAGCTCAGAGAGGGGAAGGAGGTACAGCTACCAAGCAAGGCTGGCTGAAGAACACCGGTGGGCTGAGCAGCAGCAGCATCACCTTTCACGAGACAGTGGGCTTTAACCCTCTCATCAGGATTTGTTTGCTTTCTACAAGACTTGAGGGGCAGCACCCAAGGCAGAAAGTCCTTACGGGAGGCAACAAGAACATCCGAAGTGAAAAGAACTCAGACTGAAGGTACAGCCATAAGTAGCAATATTTCCTTGGCAGCAGGTGGAGTGATCTAGAGATGAAGAATCAAATTCAGTGATCTGACTGCAGCAACTCCTCCCTTCTCCTCTCGAGAGAGACAGGCCCCTTCTACAGTTCTTTTTGTCAGGACCTGTGCAAGCAGCAGTTGGATGCTGGCAGCCCACCAGTGTACGAAGTACAGTGACAAAGATGATGAATCCAGTTTTCCCCACTGCAAATCAAGCTGAACATTACAAGTGGCAGCTTCCCTCTCACCCGCGCTGTACTTTGACATGCCTTACCTTTAGCACAATGCCAACAAAACAAGATTTTTGCTGTTTCAAGACTGAGGTTTAGAATGACACTATTCTTTAAGCCAAAATCTTACTTATACAAATGTTTGTCACAAGACATACTGTTTTTATTGATCTGTAGTACAGAATGATCAAGCAACAGTTTCATAATCAACGTTTTTTTTGTCCAGGGAAACGAAATTGTTTTTCCAGTTCACTACGTTAACACAGAAATTTAATTTTAATTACAAGCATTGCTTTCCCGCACTGAAAGATCAATTTAATCAGATCATTCTAACATGTATTTTGAAAAGCTCCTCTCAAGTCAGATTTGTATACAAATAAATGAGCAGTTACATCAAGCTAAGAAGAGATTTACCAACACTGAAGACCTTTGCAAATGAATTCCTTGTGATCTTAGAGGAATTAGTGTCTTAACACTAACACAACGTATGTTTACAAACAAAAAATAAACCTTCTTTCAGCAAAGGTTTCACAGCATGAAATACTGGCCTCCAAACTCAACACTGCATTCCTTCTCACCAAACAGATCTGTTAGGGCAGCTGCATTTTAAGGTACGTTATCAACAGGAAGCTGCTCTTACGCAGATACTTACTCAGCAGCACAACAAACACTCATGAGCAAGACAGTGAGAGGCTGTCACGAGTGCTCCTTTTGCCACTGCATGGGCTGAACGTGTCCCATATCAGACAACTACGCTATTGAATATAAAACAGACCTGTAAAAAGACTGGTCGTTTATAAAAGTTAAATACTATTTTCACATTAGAATATTTGCTGTTTCAAAGAGATGAACTGTAAGTAAATGAAAATCAAATGGTCACTTACGCAAAAGCTTTATCTGGAATGTCATTTTCACCAACAAGCAGTTAAGAAAGTTAGAGACTGTAATTAAAGTACTCAAAAACTGTGTGGCCAACTTTTATAACAAAAGAGATATAAATCATTCATTATCACAAAAAGCTTTAACCTCCTGACTCCTAAAAATGGAGTAGATGACTAATTTCGAAGAAAATGAGGTTAGCTTTTTTTTTTTACACAGATGTCAAGTGGAACACTAGGCACTAGGAAAAAAAAATGTTACTTGGTTTCTTTAACAAAGTTTTTTTACCAAATTTATAGTAAGTGGCAGTGTAAAATTCTCAAGTCATTTTAAAGCTAACAAATTAAAGGCACACAGTATTAACAGGTGTTCACGTAACAGGAAATGAGCAAAGAGGTAAACTTCTTAACAGTGTAATAAGTTATATATGCAAGATACCTGGTACGAGAGTAACCAGAGTTGTAATTCAGCCCTTAGTTATCACCTAGTTCCTGTAAGACTATAGTAGCATGAGAACTGGACAGTCAAAGCTTTGCCCTGAAATTCAGCAAGATTGACTCTGTCAACTGAGGAATTACTGGAATGCCAAAAATTAGTTCCGAGAATTTGAGAAAGTTCACATGGACCCGACGGAAAGAAAAATTAATGGATTTGCTGTACAAGGATTTTGTCCTTTTAAAACTAAACGCTTCCAGGGAGTAGTTTTCAAAATTGAGAAGACATTAAGTCAAAAACTCTGAAAAGTAAGTGACAGTACATAATGTCTGCATATAAATGGCTAGTATACGTCATAAGGATGCATTTGTAGCTCAGAAAAGTTAGCGTCAGCTTCCAAATTGTGTTTGCAGATAGTTACAAATCCAGAATGGAACTATTTTAGTTATAGAAATATTAGTCACAAGAGTGCAAAAGAAGTCCCTGTAGAGAAGTATTCCCTTTTAACTGGTACAAATAAGGAAACATCTGCAAAGATTTGTTACTTCAAGGAGACAGACCTGCTATTCTTTGCACAAACTTTGCACAAGAGATATACTGCAGGAGACAGATGTAAATACAGTGCATTTCTTAGCTGTAAGTATTCATGTCTGGTTCCAGTATTATCAGGATGGTACATAAATACTTATCACAGAGGTTTTCTTAATGGAAGAAGCCCAGTTTCTCACGCAGCCATTCTTCAGTTAGGTCTTCTGTATTTCTTATTTCAAATACCTAAACAAATTGAAGTGCAGAAATTCATGAGGTGATGGTACTTGAAAGGGATAAGCATACAGCGTGCAATCAGTATCTTTCCACACAAGTTGTTTGAGCCGTAATAAACTAGCAACCAACCCAGAGTTTTCATGTGCTTTCTTGAAAGGATCAGTTAATATTCTAAAGTAACATCAATGGAAAATACACAAGACCAAGAGGCAAGGAGTATTACAAACTGGAACAAGAATTCCATAATTCCTATTTCTAGACTTCATTTAATGAATATGTGAGAACAGCACATGTACTACATTTTAAAGTTACTCTGAAATGGCACCAGCTCATATGCATCCTCAACAAGAAGACTGTCTGTTTGAAGAATACAAATTAATTTAACCCCTGGGCTGAATTAAGCCCAAAGTTCAGGCACTTTGCTCAGCCCAAGACAGAGTTCTTCCTTCTTTGAACTGAAATAAATCCATATTATCCAGTAGCATATTGTCTTCCCTGTAAGAAACAAGCCTGGGATACCTCAGAATAGAAAACTTGTAAAAAAAAAAACACCAATCCAAAGCTTTGCAGAAGTCTCAAACAAGTGCTAAGAAATCCAGTACTTTTTCCAGTTTCTGATGTCCAGCTACTGAGGAGGTGTGGCAGAGCTGGGAGGGAGCACAGACAGACATCTTCCTTCTTTGAACTGAAATAAATCCATATTATCCAGTAGCATATTGTCTTCCCTGTAAGAAACAAGCCTGGGATACCTCAGAATAGAAAACTTGTAAAAAAAAAAACACCAATCCAAAGCTTTGCAGAAGTCTCAAACAAGCCTTTAATGTAGCCTTGAAGCAGAAAACATACTCCTTACATTCCATACGGCCAAGTAACTGGTTTGTTTGGGTTTTTTAACCCTTGAAGGAGGCTAAATTAATACTGTATTGCTAACTGGCGTCTTTGAGATGCTCATAAGTGGATCATCTTTTCAGAAGAGGCAGGGAAGTAAATTTTACAAATCCATAGGCCTTCAAAATTGTTCTTGTAGGCAATGAAAACAAGAAAAAAGATTTTAACTGCAATTACTATTCTGAGAACACTGAAAGTGTTGGGGGTTGGAACCAGATGATCTTTAAGGTCCCTTCCAACCCTTACCATTCTATGATTCTATGATGATAAGAATACATAGCTGCAAAAAGTATCTGTAGGCCTCCGTAGGCCAACAGAATGGATGGGATCTTGTACGACTCACAAAACAAGCTTCTTGGGGAACCTGCTGTTTGGAATCAACTTCCTATTTAGTCTTGTTCTCAGCCATTTTATCATTTTAATCTTCTTCAGGAAACAATTCAAGTTTTGTATCTTTTCTTCCTCATTTCCCATCTCTGCTGGAGTGGGCTCTGGACACTGCTTCTTGTATTTAGACAGTGATCCACTACTATCAATTAATACTGATTTTTTTTTTAAGTAAAATAAAGGGAAAAAAAACAAAATTCAGTTAGAAGAACTGATCAGCTTAACAGAAGGCAAGCTAATATACAAGCCACTGAAAAATGTAAGAGGACTCAGTGAGTCACATGCAGAATCACGCCAGGAGGAAGTCACAGCATGAGTTAAAATGAAACACAGCTCAGCAAGTGGCAAGAATAAAGCACATCTGAAGAGCAAGTAAGCAACCCGAACTGGAGACAGGCTGTCTTCTCCAGCTTCAAATGAAGATATCATGGATCTCTATATCCACTCCTAGGCTTTCATTCAAAAGCCTTTCAGACTGAACTTCTTCCACTCGACAGGCGACAGTAACTCTGAAACAGCTAGTCCCCCAGCTTTCACCTTCTCATCAACGAGTCTTTCTCACTCACTGAAAATCGCCTTCCTCCTCACGGAATTCTTCTGTTCTAGCAAAGATGCTAGAGTTCTCAGGCCTCTAAGATGCCATTTCAACAGACTAAAAAAAGATTTCTCGGGGCTGCACTGATTGCTTCCACCATCTCATCTTCTGCTTCCCTCCTATTTACTCCTGTCAACTTGGCGTCTAACATAAAACTGAGAAACCCTTTCTCACAAGGTAAAGCTTAGAAGTTCACAGTTCTCTTATTGGCCCAATACACATTTTTACTGGGACATTAAAGTACTCAGTGATGATAAGGAAGACCAAAAGGGAATGGTGAAGCCATTTCACACTGTATGAAAAACCTGAAGTGACCGCTGACACTATTTAGCTTTAATGGTTGAAACTAAGAAATCTAGGTGCCAATTAAGCAGATTTCAAAGATCTCCAACATGACAATTAGGTGAATGCAGTGATTTTTTTCTAATCTCAGTACTGGATGAAGCAAATCCCGAAAGATTTAGAACTATTCACCACTTGGCACGTATGTTACTTATTCTGAAGGCTACGTTCTGCAAGCATACAGCAAAACTAGGCTGCACCACACCACACTAAGACTTCAGTCTATTCTTCCCATCAATAAATTCATTCCCTAAAGTAAAGACATCCATCCTACTGATGGGTGTTTTAGTCTTAGAGAACACTCTCCTTCCTGTACCTAAACCTCCAGAAACCTCCACGTATATCCCCTCTCTTCAGTCTTCCTACAACAGAGCCTGCTCACTGTAATTACAAAGTCTTACAACACCCATCTTGCAATAAGGGCAAGCAAGGCACAAAACAGCTTCTGCAACCTGCATTCACCAGGGAGACAGTTATTCAACTAGTCAAGTATACCTTAGTGAGTTCAGCTGTCTGTACAAGCTTATTCTTGCTTCCAGCATACATCATCTGCTGTTCAGGCTTACATCCTGTAGTTGTGTGGAAAAAAAAAAAGAGGCTTTGTTTAGTTATTTTGACTGAAACACACACACACACACACAAAATCTTCTTTTTGAAAAGAATCCAAACTGAAAGCTGAAGTCTCCATTCAGAAAAGTGACCTATTTCTTTATATACATTATCATCCTTAATCTTACTTTCAGATCTGGTACTTGAAAAGCATTTCCAGAAGTAACAGTTGTGCAGGTTCAGTTGAAGGTCTCAACACGCACCTGTATTTCTGCTTGGACCTAACAGCAACTATTGCAGCAGTCAAACTTGAATCACAACAGCCGACAAAGCAGCACCTCCCACCAGCAGTGTGCTGATTACACTACATTCAGTTCTTTGCCCTCTTGCTGTTTCTGGAAGATTCCCATGTTTTTGCTAGTTACACATACACAGATCTTTATAGCACATCCCTTTGAGCTGGAGTCAAGCTGTGAGCAAACCAAGTCAGTTTGAATTTGTTGTTCTTTCTCCTAATCTCTCCCCAGATACCCCAACTGAATTGGTAGCTCGAAATTACTCCCCTCCCACCCCAAACACAGAGCAACTTCAGTCACAGTTGAAGTTAACTGCTGTTTAGAGTCCCAACTAACGGTTCGTTGTTCCTGACTCCAGTATCAGTCTAACCACTAACTTATGTTTGCAGAAAATTTTTTGAAACAAAAAACCTCAAGAAAAAAAAAGGCTTTTCTTTACAATTGCCTATTTACAAGTTTCTAGATTTGAGTGTACTTTTAAATCTTGCTACACATAAACAACATGCCTAAGCTCTCTTTTCCTATGAGGTACTACAAGTCTGCCTGCTTTGCTATTTCAAGGTCTCACAGGAAGTTTCTCACTGCTGTTCTAACTCACAAAGTATCTGTCTTTCTGAAGTAACACCCAGAACATTCACACAAAGATTCTCAGGTAGCTATAGAAGAACACGCTCACTAGTTGCTAAACTCTTTTACCTACCTAGTTATTCTAGTTCTGAGTAATGCAGGGTAAAACAATGCAATCAGTTTATCTTCTTTTAGAGGATAACAAGGATAATCCAGCAGCACCAGCAAGCTACCCTATTACAGTTCAGAACACAGATGGAAGCCACAGGAGCAATTCAGTTCTCTAAGTCCAAATCAAGTCACAGGTTATTTGGCTTCTGTTAAAATTACGCAGTTCCCTGCGCAGGTACGTTTATGTTTAGGGCTGCTGTGATGCAAGCAGAAGAAGCTACTACTCTGTATAAACCCGGGGACGATCCAAGATTACAGTCTCTGCTTGAACACAGCTTGTTCACCCAGCACTTTCACCTGCCCAGATCCGGGTTATGGAGCCCTCTTTTCCTCCTTTTCACCCATACCCGTGACAGCCCTTTGAGTGCTCCTTTTGCCACTGCATGGGCTGAACGTGTCCCATATCAGACAACTACGCTATTGAATATAAAACAGACCTGTAAAAAGACTGGTCGTTTATAAAAGTTAAATACTATTTTCACATTAGAATATTTGCTGTTTCAAAGAGATGAACTGTAAGTAAATGAAAATCAAATGGTCACTTACGCAAAAGCTTTATCTGGAATGTCATTTTCACCAACAAGCAGTTAAGAAAGTTAGAGACTGTAATTAAAGTACTCAAAAACTGTGTGGCCAACTTTTATAACAAAAGAGATATAAATCATTCATTATCACAAAAAGCTTTAACCTCCTGACTCCTAAAAATGGAGTAGATGACTAATTTCGAAGAAAATGAGGTTAGCTTTTTTTTTTTACACAGATGTCAAGTGGAACACTAGGCACTAGGAAAAAAAAATGTTACTTGGTTTCTTTAACAAAGTTTTTTTACCAAATTTATAGTAAGTGGCAGTGTAAAATTCTCAAGTCATTTTAAAGCTAACAAATTAAAGGCACACAGTATTAACAGGTGTTCACGTAACAGGAAATGAGCAAAGAGGTAAACTTCTTAACAGTGTAATAAGTTATATATGCAAGATACCTGGTACGAGAGTAACCAGAGTTGTAATTCAGCCCTTAGTTATCACCTAGTTCCTGTAAGACTATAGTAGCATGAGAACTGGACAGTCAAAGCTTTGCCCTGAAATTCAGCAAGATTGACTCTGTCAACTGAGGAATTACTGGAATGCCAAAAATTAGTTCCGAGAATTTGAGAAAGTTCACATGGACCCGACGGAAAGAAAAATTAATGGATTTGCTGTACAAGGATTTTGTCCTTTTAAAACTAAACGCTTCCAGGGAGTAGTTTTCAAAATTGAGAAGACATTAAGTCAAAAACTCTGAAAAGTAAGTGACAGTACATAATGTCTGCATATAAATGGCTAGTATACGTCATAAGGATGCATTTGTAGCTCAGAAAAGTTAGCGTCAGCTTCCAAATTGTGTTTGCAGATAGTTACAAATCCAGAATGGAACTATTTTAGTTATAGAAATATTAGTCACAAGAGTGCAAAAGAAGTCCCTGTAGAGAAGTATTCCCTTTTAACTGGTACAAATAAGGAAACATCTGCAAAGATTTGTTACTTCAAGGAGACAGACCTGCTATTCTTTGCACAAACTTTGCACAAGAGATATACTGCAGGAGACAGATGTAAATACAGTGCATTTCTTAGCTGTAAGTATTCATGTCTGGTTCCAGTATTATCAGGATGGTACATAAATACTTATCACAGAGGTTTTCTTAATGGAAGAAGCCCAGTTTCTCACGCAGCCATTCTTCAGTTAGGTCTTCTGTATTTCTTATTTCAAATACCTAAACAAATTGAAGTGCAGAAATTCATGAGGTGATGGTACTTGAAAGGGATAAGCATACAGCGTGCAATCAGTATCTTTCCACACAAGTTGTTTGAGCCGTAATAAACTAGCAACCAACCCAGAGTTTTCATGTGCTTTCTTGAAAGGATCAGTTAATATTCTAAAGTAACATCAATGGAAAATACACAAGACCAAGAGGCAAGGAGTATTACAAACTGGAACAAGAATTCCATAATTCCTATTTCTAGACTTCATTTAATGAATATGTGAGAACAGCACATGTACTACATTTTAAAGTTACTCTGAAATGGCACCAGCTAATATGCATCCTCAACAAGAAGACTGTCTGTTTGAAGAATACAAATTAATTTAACACCTGGGCTGAATTAAGCCCAAAGTTCAGGCACTTTGCTCAGCCCAAGACAGAGTTCTTCCTTCTTTGAACTGAAATAAATCCATATTATCCAGTAGCATATTGTCTTCCCTGTAAGAAACAAGCCTGGGATACCTCAGAATAGAAAACTTGTAAAAAAAAAAACACCAATCCAAAGCTTTGCAGAAGTCTCAAACAAGCCTTTAATGTAGCCTTGAAGCAGAAAACATACTCCTTACATTCCATACGGCCAAGTAACTGGTTTGTTTGGGTTTTTTAACCCTTGAAGGAGGCTAAATTAATACTGTATTGCTAACTGGCGTCTTTGAGATGCTCATAAGTGGATCATCTTTTCAGAAGAGGCAGGGAAGTAAATTTTACAAATCCATAGGCCTTCAAAATTGTTCTTGTAGGCAATGAAAACAAGAAAAAAGATTTTAACTGCAATTACTATTCTGAGAACACTGAAAGTGTTGGGGGTTGGAACCAGATGATCTTTAAGGTCCCTTCCAACCCTTACCATTCTATGATTCTATGATGATAAGAATACATAGCTGCAAAAAGTATCTGTAGGCCTCCGTAGGCCAACAGAATGGATGGGATCTTGTACGACTCACAAAACAAGCTTCTTGGGGAACCTGCTGTTTGGAATCAACTTCCTATTTAGTCTTGTTCTCAGCCATTTTATCATTTTAATCTTCTTCAGGAAACAATTCAAGTTTTGTATCTTTTCTTCCTCATTTCCCATCTCTGCTGGAGTGGGCTCTGGACACTGCTTCTTGTATTTAGACAGTGATCCACTACTATCAATTAATACTGATTTTTTTTTTAAGTAAAATAAAGGGAAAAAAAACAAAATTCAGTTAGAAGAACTGATCAGCTTAACAGAAGGCAAGCTAATATACAAGCCACTGAAAAATGTAAGAGGACTCAGTGAGTCACATGCAGAATCACGCCAGGAGGAAGTCACAGCATGAGTTAAAATGAAACACAGCTCAGCAAGTGGCAAGAATAAAGCACATCTGAAGAGCAAGTAAGCAACCCGAACTGGAGACAGTCTTCTCCAGCTTCAAATGAAGATATCATGGATCTCTATATCCACTCCTAGGCTTTCATTCAAAAGCCTTTCAGACTGAACTTCTTCCACTCGACAGGCGACAGTAACTCTGAAACAGCTAGTCCCCCAGCTTTCACCTTCTCATCAACGAGTCTTTCTCACTCACTGAAAATCGCCTTCCTCCTCACGGAATTCTTCTGTTCTAGCAAAGATGCTAGAGTTCTCAGGCCTCTAAGATGCCATTTCAACAGACTAAAAAAAGATTTCTCGGGGCTGCACTGATTGCTTCCACCATCTCATCTTCTGCTTCCCTCCTATTTACTCCTGTCAACTTGGCGTCTAACATAAAACTGAGAAACCCTTTCTCACAAGGTAAAGCTTAGAAGTTCACAGTTCTCTTATTGGCCCAATACACATTTTTACTGGGACATTAAAGTACTCAGTGATGATAAGGAAGACCAAAAGGGAATGGTGAAGCCATTTCACACTGTATGAAAAACCTGAAGTGACCGCTGACACTATTTAGCTTTAATGGTTGAAACTAAGAAATCTAGGTGCCAATTAAGCAGATTTCAAAGATCTCCAACATGACAATTAGGTGAATGCAGTGATTTTTTTCTAATCTCAGTACTGGATGAAGCAAATCCCGAAAGATTTAGAACTATTCACCACTTGGCACGTATGTTACTTATTCTGAAGGCTACGTTCTGCAAGCATACAGCAAAACTAGGCTGCACCACACCACACTAAGACTTCAGTCTATTCTTCCCATCAATAAATTCATTCCCTAAAGTAAAGACATCCATCCTACTGATGGGTGTTTTAGTCTTAGAGAACACTCTCCTTCCTGTACCTAAACCTCCAGAAACCTCCACGTATATCCCCTCTCTTCAGTCTTCCTACAACAGAGCCTGCTCACTGTAATTACAAAGTCTTACAACACCCATCTTGCAATAAGGGCAAGCAAGGCACAAAACAGCTTCTGCAACCTGCATTCACCAGGGAGACAGTTATTCAACTAGTCAAGTATACCTTAGTGAGTTCAGCTGTCTGTACAAGCTTATTCTTGCTTCCAGCATACATCATCTGCTGTTCAGGCTTACATCCTGTAGTTGTGTGGAAAAAAAAAAAAGAGGCTTTGTTTAGTTATTTTGACTGAAACACACACACACACAAAATCTTCTTTTTGAAAAGAATCCAAACTGAAAGCTGAAGTCTCCATTCAGAAAAGTGACCTATTTCTTTATATACATTATCATCCTTAATCTTACTTTCAGATCTGGTACTTGAAAAGCATTTCCAGAAGTAACAGTTGTGCAGGTTCAGTTGAAGGTCTCAACACGCACCTGTATTTCTGCTTGGACCTAACAGCAACTATTGCAGCAGTCAAACTTGAATCACAACAGCCGACAAAGCAGCACCTCCCACCAGCAGTGTGCTGATTACACTACATTCAGTTCTTTGCCCTCTTGCTGTTTCTGGAAGATTCCCATGTTTTTGCTAGTTACACATACACAGATCTTTATAGCACATCCCTTTGAGCTGGAGTCAAGCTGTGAGCAAACCAAGTCAGTTTGAATTTGTTGTTCTTTCTCCTAATCTCTCCCCAGATACCCCAACTGAATTGGTAGCTCGAAATTACTCCCCTCCCACCCCAAACACAGAGCAACTTCAGTCACAGTTGAAGTTAACTGCTGTTTAGAGTCCCAACTAACGGTTCGTTGTTCCTGACTCCAGTATCAGTCTAACCACTAACTTATGTTTGCAGAAAATTTTTTGAAACAAAAAACCTCAAGAAAAAAAAAGGCTTTTCTTTACAATTGCCTATTTACAAGTTTCTAGATTTGAGTGTACTTTTAAATCTTGCTACCCATAAACAACATGTCTAAGCTCTCTTTTCCTATGAGGTACTACAAGTCTGCCTGCTTTGCTATTTCAAGGTCTCACAGGAAGTTTCTCACTGCTGTTCTAACTCACAAAGTATCTGTCTTTCTGAAGTAACACCCAGAACATTCACACAAAGATTCTCAGGTAGCTATAGAAGAACACGCTCACTAGTTGCTAAACTCTTTTACCTACCTAGTTATTCTAGTTCTGAGTAATGCAGGGTAAAACAATGCAATCAGTTTATCTTCTTTTAGAGGATAACAAGGATAATCCAGCAGCACCAGCAAGCTACCCTATTACAGTTCAGAACACAGATGGAAGCCACAGGAGCAATTCAGTTCTCTAAGTCCAAATCAAGTCACAGGTTATTTGGCTTCTGTTAAAATTACGCAGTTCCCTGCGCAGGTACGTTTATGTTTAGGGCTGCTGTGATGCAAGCAGAAGAAGCTACTACTCTGTATAAACCCGGGGACGATCCAAGATTACAGTCTCTGCTTGAACACAGCTTGTTCACCCAGCACTTTCACCTGCCCAGATCCGGGTTATGGAGCCCTCTTTTCCTCCTTTTCACCCATACCCGTGACAGCCCTTTAGACCTTCACATTACAGCACTGTTTGGATGCGTCCTCTGTTGCTGCCCATTGCATACAGGTCCCCTGGGAAACCCTCCTCTCCAATCCCATCCTAACCCTTTCACAGGAGGAGAGGAATTTCTTCCCACCCAGTCACTAGCATCCGAATAGTGAGATGGACAGGGGTGAACAGAAACTCTCAGGAACGGAGGTGGTATCTTCCAGCCCTCTCCTCGCTCATTTCCTGAGCCTTGTCTAGTCATATTTTGAGGATTCCCTAAGATCTGAGGGGAGGGTGACAGGAAACACATTAGGTTAAACCTACATGAATAGATGCAGAGTGCTGCAGGCTCCTTTCCTTTGCAGGAGGGTGTTGCTGTGCACACCACTGAGAACAGTGGGCAGGCACGTTTGGAAGGACCCACCTTTTGGTCAGCTATGCAGGCAGCTAACACTTCTGTTCAGCCTTCCAAAATGGAAAAGAGGACCTCTTCTACCACGCTTCCCAAGGGCCCCAGACGCGAACCCCAGAGGCAGTGAAAACCTCCACCAACCAGGGAGATCTGGGCAGATGGAAGTGTTGACACTTGTCATGAGCTGACGGCGAGGATGGAGCTAATACACTATGGAGATTCCTCTCTGCTAAAGAAGGTCTCCAGATAATGCCATAGCTTTACGGTGCCTTGCTTCCAGCAGTGGCATAAGCAAATCTAGCCTTAAGCACCCGAACCACTATTCGAGCATTAAGCACTCATTTTATCTTCCATAGCAAAGAACATTCCCGTATTTACAGCACATAGAGGCTACCATTCACAATGTTAACTCACCAACTGGACTGGAGAAGATAAAGCACAATGGATAAGAAACTCTTCCATCATCATGCTGGTACTTGTAACTATACACAATAAATGTTTTTTCTGAGGTTAAAGAAACTAAGAAATCAATGATTTCATTAGGATATAATCCTCAGTTATCAGAGCTTGATGCAGGGACAAGTCAGTCTTGCTTTGTAGAAGATGCTTTAAATTTGATTAGTCTCACTGTTCTCCTGTTTTCACTTCCATATTTGACTTTCAGACAGACCCCGCCTGTCTTTACCAACCTCTACCGCTGCCGGGTGCAAGGGCTGTCTCGGAGAGCTAAAAGCACCCTTTCATCGCAAATATTCCTCTCCCAGCTTTGTAAAAAGACTTCCCACACCCACCAACATGTTCTGGGCTTAATGAAAGCCAAATTCTTTCTCTGCAGACTAAGCACTTCATTGTTTCAGGTGTTTTGCTGGATTTGAACTCAAGTTTTCGCTAGGACTCCTGCTTTACAGGCTCCTACTGCACTATGGCCATGAAAGGAAAGATTCAGAAAGGCAAGTGGAATAGTGCCAGCCAGCTTCTGAGGATAATGGTGGCAGATATTTTCTTCACTTGTAACTTAAGTACCCCTCTTATTTCATCTAGTTAAAGAATGATTTACTTGCCCCACCTTTTTTTTTTTTTAATACAGGGATTCTTGCCTAGATCACATGCCTACAGCACTCCCAGAATGAGTAACTGCAGCAAAATAACAATGGCCACATGCTGAGAAAGTACCGAAACAGATCCTACGTTACACAGGCACTTTTCTGTATTTAGAAGCAGCCACATATAAAACTGGTACAGTTCACTCATTTTACATTAACAGCAGTGTGGTTTCGCTTTACTTCCCCAGACATTATATAGTCTAAAAGAAAATAAAAGAGAGAGAGACTTAAATGTGTCAGTCACTGTTTCAACAAGTGGGACAGTTGTTTCCTGCACCATGAGAACTCATTGTTAGATTATCTCACAAATCAAATACCAGTAAAATCGCACTGCAGGCAAGTATTGGCCTAAAAAGGTGAAGTCCAACTGTGAACGTTTTGAACAGCTTCCAGGAGTAAGACCAAATGCCAGCAGCACAAGAAGGATATCGAGGTTGTCTCTCGGGCAGCTCATCTTTTAGCTCATCGGGAGAAATACCCTGGCAACATTAAACACAAGCAATATTTGAACAAATGGTCTTGCACTTGAAGGTATACTATGAAGGTTAAAGCAGAATAATGGAACAGTGAAACAGCTGTAAGTTAGATGTACATCTATGGTTGAACTGATAACGATCTCTCACACAAATTACTAGAGCAGTTTAGGAAAACTTGTGTGCTAATAGATTCCTATGACTAAACACAGAATTAATGTTAGCGTGAATAATCATCCCTATTTTAGGCATAATGAGTTTGGAAAACATTTTTGGCTCTAGTTGGATATGCTGGCAGCTACCATGTTTTTCTAACTGTAGTACTAAACAGAAGTAAGCAAGCACACACCAGAAAGTGTCTGTTAAAATCAGCTACATAAATGGTGCTTTTGAAAAATCCAGTCCCTTCTCCTTGAGCATTCTATTTAAATGTTACATTAACGTCTACATTCTAGCAAATAAGAGCTACGGTTAATGCTCAAATCCCTGGGAAGGATTTAATTTTGCCCTATGAACCATTAAGAAACACGACATGCTGGGCTGACCTTATTATGCCACCTATCAAATTTAGAGTCTGCAGAGGATTAGCAATCCTAGCTTCTAATTGATGGCGGATCAGCTCAGAGACAAACGTGCACATCTATGTGGAAACACAGCAGAAATCTCTTCAAAAAGCCAGCAGGTGCCAAAGATGCTTTTTACATGGTTGTATCATAACAGCTTTCAAGTAACTTTTTTTGTGCAATTAATTAGTCAACTCAATTGCTTCTGCATAATTCCTCTATTAACAGTGCTGTGCTTTACATGCAAAGTGACCATGCATTTAAATAAGCTCATGACCCAAATTAGATTAAGAGTTTGATAACAATTTGAAACTAAGGCAGTACCTTAGAGACAACAATACATTGCAGGCTGAAGATACTCTTATTTACAATTCATTTAACAAACCTCATGCTCCTCATCCAGTACCACCAACTGCTTATCCTTGTCGATTTTCACTATAAATCAAAATAAAACATGGATCAGTGTTTTTCCAATTGATTTATACAATGCATGCACGAAGCTTTTCAACATTCCTCCATAAGTATATTACTTGTGCATCCATTCTGTTTCTCCAGTCTAGCCCACGACTTCACAAAATCACTGAAGTGCAGAGTCTAAGTGCTGTCCATTGCAATACACTCTTCTCAAATTTCAAACACAGAAATGTCAACACCCCCCCCACTTAAAGGCTACAAAATTTAAAAACTCAAAATGACTGTGCCTTGACTTTTTTTTACTATCTTTTTTACAAACAGCGGTAGATTCTGAGCTGCAATTAAGTATAAATTCTCTATTAAGAGCAGATGCAGTCTTGTGTCATAAGAACAGTGCTGCTTTACTGTTAAAATTACAGGCAGAATTGGAAGTACTGAAGTTCATACAAGAAACAGCCTCTTGGGTCACATTTACCTGTTACAGCAGCAACATTACATGGGAAGGAAAAGAGGAGGCAGGATTTGCTGCAAGCCCTTGCAATTTGTCTCAAACGTGTTTTTAACTTACTTATTATGGCAGCATTATTGGTTTCTTTACGAAACCGGAATTTTCTCAGTTTCTCCACCAGGTCTTCAGCAACATCACAAACCACCAGAGATTCACTCTACAAAAAGGAAATGGCAGAGGGGAGGGAAAGATAAATCTTTCTAGTAAACCAGAAAAAAATCCCCATGCCACACATACACGAGCATAAACCCTATTAATGTGAAACTGCATGCAATTTGTCCACACACAAAAACCAGGAAAACCATGGATGAAAGCAGATTTTAAAAACACAGTAACAGAACACTTCTCTGTTTTAACACGCGTCCTCAAAGCCACACAGTTAACCAGGAACATTTTATTAGCTATTCCTGAAGTAGGATTATTCTTATAGCTCTTACAAATAAACAAATTTTAGAGCTCGTTTGCCAAGACAAGTCCTGAAATAAGGAAGCCCCTTAGAGTGTCAGTAAACTGGCTAAAGTAATTTAAGCATTTAAAATGCTAGGAACTACTATTAGTATTTCAGAAGAACACAGTAATCAAGGGTCACTACTTATTTTTACCCACAAAAATATTAACTGAACTTTTGAGATTTGCACACACAGAAAGTATTTAAGACATTTCAATCAAAGAGCACGCATACTTGTCCCCCATGTGCTTATATGTCACTAACTCCAAGTTTCAGAAGAAATGTCCAGATAACATATTAGTCATCACACTGAAAATGGGGAAGGAAACGATCATTTCACAAGCAACCATGCAGGTTATCTTCCATTACACACGCAATTTTTAAACTGTACCAAGCCGACCACTGCCATTTCCTGAGCAACACTTGATACACACAGCCTCTGTCACCACCGTGAAGAGATGCATGCCAACTAGATGAAAAGTTATTTCACATCTCCAGCTTACTCATATTATTGCATTTGTAAATTCCTAAGGCATCAAGGCTTCCGTGCCAAAACAACTGTTATTTCAAGACTTCTTTAAAAAAATCGATCAAGTGAAAAAAACAGTTGTGAGATTCCCTATCACAAGCTCTACTAAAGAGCTGTTTCATTCAGACAAATCACTGCTTACAAATCCGAAGTTACTATTTAAACTCCGAGTTTTGCCCCCCACTCAACACTGCCTTGTTTGTGAGGTTCTCCTCAAAAAGCAGAGCAGCGTCTCTCCTTCCCCACTTCCAAAACCACCTTGCAAATATCCTATGTTTGTTGTTACTCCTAAAACGACTTCCACCTTCACCACATTCTGGCACAAAGTCTTGTGCCTCTGCTTCCTTCCAACAGCTGGAGAGGAAATGGGGCTCTGCTGCGACAGGACAGGTCAGGCACTGTGTGCGCAGCCTTCGTTATTTTGCTCGCTTCCCCTAAATGTTAAAGATTGTTCTTGGCTCCCTCTGACCCACAAATACCATTAACACCCATTCTCACTACTTCAGGAGGTCTCTATCTAAAAAAATACAGAATTGAGGGCTGCATTTCAAAGATGAACTTATATTTTGTATCAAATGCTCTTTCCCGAGGGAAGCATTTCTCGCAGCCCTCTGGGCTCACCAGTTTCCTGACACCTTCCCCAGGGTAAGCAGTGCTCTCGCACACACCCGTGCAGCCACGCAAACACAAACCCCTAAAAGAAGCTGAGGGCTGTGCCCGCAAAACACACAGAGACCCCAGATTCCGCTCGTCTGTCGAGGCTGAGCTGGCTCACCAGCGCTCCGTTTAATAAAAAAAACCCTAAAGCACGCCAAGTGCAGAGACAGGAGGGCTGCACAGCGGGGGGGGCTGCTGCCGGCTACCCGCAGCCCCCATTCCCACCAGCCTTGGACTTCA